AAAATAGAGGGGCCAACTGAAGGCGTAATTGTTAAAAATAAAACCACTGGGGAAGGTACATTTAGGGAAGGGAAGTGGGAGCCCCTGGCTACTGGCATGGAAGTCTTACGGCATGACTGGCTGGCATTTACTTACAAGAAGGCTCATGTGGAAAGATGTTGTACTGAAAGCCAGTCAGAGCCCCAGCCCCCAGGCAATATGGGCTACCTGGTTTACAGTGCATCTTATCCCTCCTTCTCCAGCGGCCAAAGGCTTCACTGGATAGGGCAGCTGCCATTTACAGACTAACTGTATTGTAACTGCAGATGCAGAAAACTGTGTGAAATAGATGGAAGCAGAAGAACAAAGGCCCGCAGGAAACTGCAAGACAGCACACAAACACGGTTCCCAACTCACCTGTCTTGGCCCAAGAAAGCCACTGCTGTGTTACAGCAGAGCTCCTAATAAATCAGAAACGGTTCAGCCTGTACCCATTTGTAAGTCACTCCTTTAAAAATGCCATCTCTTCTAGTTAAAATTATTTTGGACTTCATTTTACAAAATTAATATAATGTGGGAGACAGTATGATTTTTTTTTTCTTTTGCCAGCTTCCAAATTAAAAATAGTTGAAATGACTTGTATCTTTTATTTTGGAAAACCAGGGACAAAAAGATATTCCCAGCCTACAACGGAGGCGCCAAGTTTCTGTCAACTGCTTGGTTACAATGTGGAGAGTTAGAATTAAATTTTCTATCTTGAAAAGTGTAGCTTTGAAGAAGAGAGATGATGTAAAGGCCGTTGCAAGCAACTTTTAGTCAGGCATCTGATGATGACACTCCCAGCCCCTTGATGTTCTAGATGAGTCTTGAGACTTTCTAGTTCTAACGGGAGAACATACTAAGATGCTTCTTCTAATTCTCCTGTCATGAGGCCCCACAAGGAAAAACAAGGGGCTCAGTGGCCATGACTCAACCAGGTCTCTTATTCATGTCAACCTTGACCTATGGTGAATGCCTCAGACTCATCTCACACCACCCACTAGGCCCCTTTTCATGGTCTGAAATAGAAAGTAAGGAAGGAGAGCTGTACTGAAAAAACAAAAACAAAACCCCAAAGTACCACACCACCACAGCTGTACTGAAAAAACTGTATCAGGTACCAAGTGCGTATTCCACATCAGCGGGCCTCAGTCCCAGCTGCATATGAGAATCATTGAGGATTTTAAAGAAAATGCCAATCACTAGGCACTAGGCCCTTTCCTAGACCAGTGAAATCCTAACTTCTGGGAATGGGGCTGGGCCCTTGGCATTTTTAAGGAACCCCCCAGGTAAGTATAATGTGCCGCTGAATTTACACTTGCTGCTAGTTAAGGGAGAGAAGGCTCAGAAGCAGCAGGAACTTAGGTGCTCCACGGTTGAGTGCCTCCCCCACCCCCATGCCCCGGTCATGTGACCACTGGATCACCTGCTCTGACATTCCACCATCCGCCCGGGGTCTTCTGGCTCTCAAGAAAGAAATATGCAAATACACAGGGCTGCAGCCCTTCAAGGCCTGCCTGCCTGCAAGGCTGAAACCCTGAGCGAAGTTTACAAAGTTATTTTTTCCATCAGCCCAGAACTCCAGCAGCCGGGGCTTCCTCATCTTTCCTGAATCAACTCCGGTGCTGAGCCTGGCAGCCTCGGTTCTCGGGGAGCAACATCAATCTTGAAGGACTACAGAATGTTAAGTGTGGGCTCAGCAGAAGAATAGTTGATAGATCGGGGAAGGGGTTTGATTTCACAATCACACAGACTGGGAAAAACCTTAAAACGGAGGTTGGGGGGTGGGTGGGTGGGAGAAGGATTTAGAGTCTGTTGAAAACAGCATTCTACCGGCGATTTTTTAATCCCACTGGGTTCCATGAAGTCATCTCCATGCCTAGTTTTAGTCGAAGGAGCAAGAAAGACTTCCCTTAATAACCAAGCAAGAAAGAATCAAGTGTTTTCCGTCTCTCTCTTTGGGAAACAAGTAGGTATGTGCACGCTTGAATCTGTCACTGTGCTCCAATTCTGCAGTCATGTGGCTGGCACAGAGATTCGCAGACTTGGTGCCCACAAACAGCTGCACCCTACGGTCCCAGCAGGTGCACGCACAGAGCCCAGCTCAAAAATTCATTGCAAGAACAATGGCGCCGTTATGACGCTGAGGGACAAGGCCTGATACTAAGCACATACTGTACTGCAGCTGAGGATGGCAAGAGCTAGAAACTTAGCCACAGCTCCCTGAGATCTGGCCTTTGGGTCCCAGGATCATATTCACAGACACGGCCACGTAGAGCACCCCAGTGACAGCAGCTATAAATGATAAGGCCCGACCAACCAGAGAGTTGGTGGAAATTAAAGAAGAAAAAAAAAAATCCCTCCAGAAAATGTATTCCTTTCCTTTTAACATATCTTCTCCTCCTGTGGGCTGCACCGCCACAGTCACCAAGTTTACATTTACATCCAAATATGCACACACAAAAAAAATTACCGATGCATCTCACTCCCCGGTGACTTTGTAACAGGTTGCTAGGTAACAGTGCATACAAGTCAGGTTTCAGGACCTCTACTAAGCCACCAGAAAATAGCTGCATGGGCCTTTTGCATAAATAGTGTGCATTTGTTATCTGTTTTCTTATGCCAATTGATCAGTCAGTAAATACTCCCACTGCCAAACTGTAAACAAGTCCCATCAATAACTAACTGAGAAAACAGATCACAGTGTGAGGCTTTGGTGCAGTCTTTCACCCCAACCTACCCGACTGGCTCTCTTGAGTCTCTCCTGCTTGCAGTGCAGGCTCTCAGCAGGCCTTATCTATGCTCCCTGAGATTGGGTCGGGAGCTAATTACAGCCTGAGCCCAGCAGGAGTAGCGTATCATACACCAAGTAATCTTATCCGAAGACCAATCCTTCCTTCATCCTCTCTCCCCTTCCTCCAGATTTAAAAACTTCTTACAGTCCTGGAGCAAAGGCAGTAACCCCATACTAAGAGCTACTCACCGCCCCTCCCCTTCCCCCCTTAGTCTCCCCCGGTCTGTTAAGTAAGGAAACATCCCATGATTAAACCACACCAGTTGAATACACCATTTGCATTCCCTCCCTTGGGAGTGCACTAGAAGAGCCCAGGAAAGGAGCCCTTTTTGCTATAAAACTGGTGAGAGAGACCATCCAGGAAAAATCAGAGATGCACACCCTGCACGCCCCCTCCCCCACCGGAGGTGAAGCCTAAAGGATCAGCAGCGAAAGGCAAACTAGAATCATGCATTTCCCCACATTTTCAAAAATGTTTAAATATAAAACTCGAAGACTCTACAAGCACATTTTCCCCTAGATTGGGGTGGGAGAAGGTAAGCGGAGGGGTGGAGAGGAGGAGAGGAGAGAGCCACCCTCCCATGTTCTTCAAGGCCACAGGGAGATCCACTTCGCTTCCTGTGATCTGACCATTTCCAGCGCAGGACTCTGCACTCACGCTGTGGGTTGGCGGGTTGGAGCTCCTGGCTGTAACATTTCCTGCCCCAGTTGACTCCCCAGGTCATTTCTGACACCTCATTTCCTGTCCCCTACCTTTCCTCATTTCTTCCAACTAGTGTTGTGTGCTCCTGAGGGGCAAAGATCTAGGGTGCTGGGGACATTCCAAGAGACCTGACTGAAGTGTCACTGAGCAAAGGGACTCCCAAGCGAGTGAAGCTGAACCTCTAATTCACCTGGCAATGACATTTAGTGAAATGTGACTCACAGTCCATTTAAAGGAAGGCGGTGACCAATTATTCTCCATTTAAAAGGGTATTGTCAATCTCCAAAGAGCTGAAATGGCATTTGGAAATCATCGTGGGGACTGCCATCTTCACTGAAAGACAGAACCAACTCTCAGCCGACCTTTCCCCACCCACCGCATCTCTTTTACAATTTAAAATCATACTTTTAAAAATGTAACATGTAGCAGCACAATCCCATGTCATGTTTTATCATTCCCAAACAGTCAGGAAAAACAGCGCTCCCTCAGGATTGCCACACCCCCTATTCAACTCCACAACTTAATCAGAGAAATTGGGGGAAAAATAAAGGACAAAAACAAAAAGAAACACCATGTGTAATCTGATGATGAACGTGAGGTCAATTAATAATAAATTTTTATAACATATTTCATCTTCTTTCCAAAAGGCAGTGGGGTAGATGGGAAAGAATATTTTTTTAAAAAGTTGTTTGTTCATTTTTTTTAATTTCACTTTACATGAGGCACCTAAAGTAGTTAAATTCACAGAAGCAGAAAGTAGACTAGTGGTTACCAGGGGCTGTGGGGAGGGCGGAATGGGGAATTATTGTTTAATGGGTATGAGGTTCCGTTTGGGATGACGAAAAAGTTCTGGAGATTGATGGTGGTAATGGTTACACAATAGGAATGTACTTAATGCCAAAGACCTGTATACTTAAAAATGGTTAAAATGGTAAATTTCATGTTAGGCATATTTTGTTACAATAAAAATTTTTCTAGTGGAAAAAATAATGTAAAGATAATCTTTATCATTTGCACAAATTTTAAAACTATAATTCCTAACAGTAGTCTCTGTATATATATCCTTTAAAACTCTTTCAAATTAAGGCAATAAAAAACTTGCATAATGCAGAATGAGACGTTCCTTACGAGCACTTTAAAAGAACCAAATGCAGAGACAAGTTAAATATGGCCCAAGGTCACACAAAGAACTATCACCACCTTGGCTCACCATGTGACCTGTCCCCCACAACAAGAACCCATTAAGGGGAAAAACCGGAAGGAAATCAACAAGCCCTGTTGTTTCTAGACCCAAACCACAGCAATGCCTACTTCCAAAGGACTGGGAAAAAAAAAAAGTCAAGGAGAAAATTTATGAAAGTGCAAACGATTAGAATTTAAAGGGACCTTGAAATCATCTAGTACTACCAGCTCACTTTACAGATGAGAATCCTGGTAGAGAAAGAGAGAAAGAGAGAGAGAAAGAATACAACCCTATTGAAGTACCTGACAGCTTCATGAGAAAATCAGACGCCATCTTAACAGAGATGTCCTGGCTGAACAATGCTGACGCACTGTTGGCCACATACTCGGAGGGGTCTTTCAGCTTTGTGTGGTTGGCTGGCCTGTCGGCAGCATTCAGAGTAAAGGAGGTTGGCAGGCCGTTATCTTCCTTGGGTTCCTCCTTCACCAGCAAAGGCGAGACGCCAGCCCCACCCTGGCTAGTCCTCTCTGGAGTGTTGGACGTCATCATGGTCCCCACTAGCTCTGTCCCTCCTCCTTCCCTTTGCTGCCCCAGGCAGGCACTGTCACTGAGGTGGGGAGATCCCTTGACATCTGGGTCTGGGATCTCCTCCTTCACCTTGGCTTCTGTCCTCAGGAAATGCTGATGGCAACGCATGTGGAGTTTCAGGCTGAAGTGGCGTGAGGAAGTGAAAGGGCATAGCTGGCACTGAAAGGTCTCTCCCCGGTCCTGGTGCTGATGAACCTGACGAAGAAGCAAGAAGAATGAGCTCTCCACCATGTGCTTACGGAAAATGCCTTGTTGTATATCCAGACTACTCATCAACCATTTCCTCACAGTACCAAGGGCTGGCCCAGGAAACAGAATCACCAGAGCAGCATTTTGTTACCGTGCTCCAGGTAATGAGGTCCGTCCCTAAACATAACGCGGGTCCATGTAGCTTAAGAGCCCATGATTAGAGCCACACTCACAACGGAGGATGCTGTCTGCCAATGGAGGCTGTTTTCAGGAGAATCCTCCTAATATTCTAGTCATCTCATCTTGGTGGGTCTTCAGAGAAAATATAAACCCAGCACAGTGCGAACTTACATAATTACCAGTTGGGGGTCAAAAGAGGCAACCTGTCAAGTAATTCCTCTCACAGTAATAATAAGTTGCATGTACCTGATTATTGTCACTCAGAGAATTAGTTCTGTTTTGCAAACGTAATTTCAATTTTCAAAACGCTTCTCTAGGTAATTAAGAATGTGGAAAATGAGGTCTCCGGGGTATTCCCGTTTCATAGACAGGGAGACTGAGAACCCAGAGTAAGTGGCTTGAGCAAAATCACATACGAAGCAAGCAAAGTAGAGTGCGAGAAAAACCAAGGTCTGATCCCCACCCAGAACTCTCGGCAAGATGAAACCAATGTTTCCAAATGTGGTCCTATCGGGTTCCAGATTCTGCTGTCTGCAATGAAAGAGTGCAGACTTTTAAATCCAGTTCCAGTCTTGCAGGCACAGTACCTGTAAAAAATTGGAAGAAGCTTTCTCCTTCCTGTCCCTACCAAATGTAGTGCTTGAAAAAGTGAGGAAATCAATCACTAGACTGAGCCAGGCTTCGAGCTGGCAGGTGCTCGTCAGCTCGTAACTTCCCCATTGAGCTCTGCCAATGTACTTCAGTGCTGACCTGCTACACCCTGCTATTTCAGGACTGCCCCTCCCTTGCGTAGAAACTGCCAATTGTGTAGATTTGGGCCAAATGATTCGGGGAGCTGTGGGATCTGGACAAGCAAGTGACTGGGATTCAAAACCAAAACAAAACTGACACCTTATCTTCCAGGGGTGACCTAGGCGGGATTTGAACCCAGGTCTAACGAAGGTTAAAGGCTAGTTCGTTAATTCACTGCACCACCTGGCCCCTCTGCGTAGGCTTCCTTTCCAAGAGAGCAAGTTTTACTACAGCTGTTTACGCATTCTGAATGCAATCCAAAAGCATTATTCACCAGCCAAAACATACTTTTAAATAATGTTGAGTGACCAACAAAAGCAAAGAAATTAAAAGTTAATGGTGAGATCCTGTCGCTACAGCACCCCACTGTGGCTTTTTGAAAAAAACAGCCGAAGAGATTCTGGGTCCCCCAAAGCATGCATTTCTCAGAAATAACCATATAAACTTCAATTCAGTTGCAGCAAGGCCTTGCTCATTAAAAGGTTTCCCCTCTGCCAGGTCGGGAGGGGTTGGGGGGTTCGGGACGCGTTTGTCACTGGTCGTTAACATCACCTCTCTCTGTTCTTTCACAACAAAGGAATTTCAGTCTGGAGCTAATCATTTCATTTTGCTTTCTCACAGAATCGTGAAGATTCCCCACCATCTCCTCCACCCAATTCCTGCAGGAGCAGGGCACCTTGGGGGCTCGGGTCACAGCCCCACAGGACCCTGACAGGTGCTGCCTAGAGCATGCCCGGAACCAGGTGGTAAAGGTCACAAGGCGGAACGCTTCCGTCGTCCCGGGAGCAGTGCGGTGGAGCAGATTCCATTTCAGAAGTGTCCTTACATCTATGGACCCGGGAGAGGAGAAGAGCTAATCCAAGAACAGAAGCTCCGGAAGCAGCTTCCGGAAGAAGGAAAAGGACAGAGAGGGAGCCCAAGTTCTAAAGTCGAAAGGGAGCTCTGGACTGAAAAGCGTCTGTGCGCAAGTATTTTTACGTGGCTTCTTTTCCACCAGATCCTGGCCTTGCTATATTTAGTTGTGGAAAAATCAGTGTCGGTTTAAAGGAGGAATAGGGGCCATGGTGTTGATTCTCGAACTTGTCATTTTATGTGAGCTGCACCTTCCCAAAGGGGCGAGATGTCTCATTGGGCCTTTGAGAGAAGTATTCCCTATGTCCTACTCCTGAGTTTCTTCCCTTCTGTCCTGACAGAAAAGCACTTTCTGTGATGATTTTTAATCTCTTTAGCCTAACATTGGCTTTAAAACCCTTTGAAGTCCGCTAACGTGAAGCAACACTTATCTAAAGCATATCATTCTTTCCAGGTCACACAGAGATATGCTGATGGACTGGTCATTTTGCAGCGAGAGCACCTAAGGGGTGGGAAATAGAAGGCACTGTTACATCATAAGGTCCATCTCCCAGTGGTGGTGGGATGAACAGGAGGAAGCTTTGGCACACACCTGCTCCACCCCCTTAGGGGATCAGGCCGGGCAGGGAAGGAGCCTCCTCAGGAGTCACAGGCCCTTAAGTGGCAGGCCCCAGACCAGCAGGACTCAGAGCTCTGACCCTTGCCCAGTTTCTTGCCATTACTTCACCACTGTGCTTTACTTTAACAGTCCCCACCTTTTCTGTTCCATCTGGCTTGCGAATTTCGTATTTAATTCCTATATGCTCACTCATCCAGGAAAGTTGTAAAAGACTTAATGGAAATCTAAGATAACCCTGAGGAAGCTGGAGGCATTTACAAGCTCCTTCCTCAGCTGCCCATAAAAACGTTGGTGAGATATACGGAGGAGGAAAAGGCGGGTTTAAAAAAAAAAAAAATGTACAGTGCCCAGCACCTAGTGGGAACACAGTAAATACTGTCCTTGTTGAACAAATGAAGTAGAATCCCAATTCGTCTTAACTAAGTCGACAGCATCAATATGGAAGGATATCCCTTAGAATGATAATGGTTATTACTGTGTGATGGGCTCGAGGGTCAATTTTATATTCTTGCCATTTACCGGTTTTCCTAAATTGTCACCATTAAAGATTTATCACGAAAAGAAAAAGGCAATAAAATTTAGAATAATTTTTTATCCCACGTCATTACTCTATTTCCAAATGTAAACGCTAACTCCGAGAACTCTTGGATGAAAATGACCGAGTTAGCTGCATTTCCTGGGTGTGCTCTGTGCTGGGCACTGTATTCAGTTGCTTTATGTCCATTATCTCATTTAACCCTTATAACGACTCCAGACTCCAGGCGACAGATTGGATGATTATCTCCATGAGTGGAAATGAAGGCTGGGAGAGGTTAAATGATTCGCCCCAAGTCTCCCAGCTACTAAAAGTCGTGGTACTGAGATTCTAACTGAGGTCTTTCTGACCCCGCACTCATTGTGAGATCTTAATCTATAGGCGACACTGCCCCCACTTCACAGGCTGGATTCGTTGTAGAAAATCCATTCATATTTTTAGTCCCTGGTGAATGCAGAAGATGTCTCCACCACAACTCTACCCCTACGTAGACTGTGTTTACAAAATGTCTCAAAATTAAAGTACGTCCAATCAAAACAAAAGCATGGATTCTTTAAAGAAAGAAAACGGCCTATCGGTGAGGTGGAGAACAGAGACAAGAAAGAGTACACCATTTGATAAAATTAAACTTGCATGAGCCCTTCTCACACTTCCCTTATCAAAAGCTCAGAGTCGTAGCTCAACAGGTTAGGACACTATGAGTCTGAATAAAGTAGTAATTTCACACAACTGCTTTATTGTACCGGTTATTGATTTGTTCTGAAAGCATTCTGAGACCCCGCGACCCGCAAAGGCCTTGCAGCTCTCATCTGTAACACTGTCATGGCCGACCGTCTGTATCATCAAGGCACCCAACTCATCTCCCTGTAGTTTCAGGGTCAGTACTTCCTGCTATTGAAAACCCAGCTTTTTTTTTTTCCATGGGTTTATAAATAGGTTGTTTTATGTGACCCTGAGCTGAAACCAAGCTTACAAGGTGTCAGGCTAGATGCAAGTTTTCTGCTCACTGAAGCTTTAAATTTGCCAGACCTGATTTCTAAACACAGCATAGGACACAGGAACGAAAACAAATTTTAGTTTTAAAGGCATTCCTTTTGAAGTCTCACCCTGCTAATGAAATCCACTTTGCAGGTATAAAATACGAGATTTTGCTTTGGGAAGAGGTGATAGAGGATGAGGAGGGGAATGGAAAAACTAAGTAGGCTCAGCAAAATCCAACCAACCAGAACTCCCGGTGTTCAATGGATTCTGAAGATGAAGGGCAAGCTAATCCCAGGAGAAAAAGGCAAATGACAGAATACAAATTACATCATGGATTTAATTTTTCTTTTTAATCTTCTAAGCTATCACCTAAAATCAGCAGAGGTTCTGTCTGATCACACTTTTTTAGAACTACAATTCTCTACAGTCATCACTGATCTATTCAGACGGATTAGACTACAAGGTTTTGAAAAAAAGCAAATATCTTGATTATGTACATACACTACGCTTCTTATGGCAGGAAAGTAAAAACGTTATAAACAATGTCAACAGCCAAGCCGTACTGAAAATATCAATGGGAAAATAAAGGTGTTCAAAGAGAGTTATCAAAATTAAATAACTACTATTGAACATTTCTGTGTCAGATAACTTTGCTAACATTATCTCCTAAAATACTCATGACAACGCTTCCAGATAAACATTATCATTCTCATTGGACAGATGAGAAAATTGAGAGCCTAAAGTTCATTTGCTCAAGGCCACTTAGCTAGTAAGTTGCACAATAATATTTAAATGCAGGTCTATCAAATTCAAGAGCCCATGCTCTTTTGATCTCGTGATTTTCTTCCTTGGATTTCAGAGAAAACCTTTATTAGTAATGGGGTCTGCCAGAAAGATTTTGAGATGCTAAGTTTTCTCCATCTCACATAAGAGTGAAACACAGTTGTTTTTAGTAAGACACTGAAAACAACGTCCTTAAATGTTTGGTGACTGTGATCCTGGGAGTTAGGACAGCACACACACAGAGACAGCCTTGGGAGGACCCAGTCTTGTCAGGAATAGCCCCCCAAGCCTCACACAGGGCAAAAGCTAGAGCCCAGGTGTCCTTCAAGGTCCTCACACCTCCTATAAGGAGCCTCTGGGTGTTCCTGGGGGTTTGTAAGCTGGAGAGCAAAGCAACAGCAGAAGAGGGTGGACCCCTCTCTGGGGCACGGGTCCAGCAGCCTGTCCTGCACTGGTCTTTCCTGCTCCTTGCTCTTCCCTAAGTCTTCCTCCCAGTGTCCCAGACACGCATTGCCATGCAAGGCCAAGGTAGGCTGCTGCTCCCCAATAGGAAAGGGCCCTACATTACGTCTATTGTTTGGATACCAAAGCTTCTCTTTGCCTTTAAAAAGGACGGGAGTAGCATTAAAAAGGAGACCCTTCGCCACATGCTTCATCGGGCACCCGACCTCGAGACAATGAGCACTACATTCCGTAGGATCCACCGATGGCCCCTCTCCTGCCTCGAAGCCTCCTGCACTGGACCGTGTGCAAGAGCTCAGGCTGTGCCTGCCTCTTTGGGAGGCCCGTCCGCAGGTGGCTTACCTTCATGTGGGATTTGAGATTGTCCTTGCGAGCACAGCGGAATGGACAGAGAGGACACTGATGACTTTTTAAACCTGTGTGAATCACCATGTGCCGCTTCCAGTAACTCTTCCTTTTGATAACCAAACCACATATCGGACACTGGAAAGGCTTTCCGCTTTCCTCTTCTGAAGCTTGGAAGAGGGAGAAAGAAAGAAAAATTGAGGAAAACAAAAAGGTACACTGCATCCAGCACTAATTCACATGCATTGCCATGTAAAGAGCACTAAAAATGATCTGGTGTTTTCCCTGGGCAATTCCAAGACTTTATCCACCAGGAAGTTTTATCACTGCTTTTCTTCAAGTAGAAACCCACGTTCATCTCATTACTTCCATGTGGGTTCCATCTTTCAAAATCTGACCATGCTGCCATGTGACGGTCTTACTTTCAAAGGCCATCCCACACCTAGGAAGGTGTCTGCAAAGGGGCTTTGCCTGGCCTGGTCTAGTTCAGCCCAGAAAAGCTTAACTTCAGGAGCTTTGTTTCCTGAAGGAAACCTCCAGACTTGAGGCCATATTTGAATTCCTAAACTTAGAAAACAGCAAGAAATAAAGACAAATCAAATGGGACAGGGAATGATGCACTGCACCACACTGAAAACCAAACAGCCATCATAAGCCTCACAAACCAAACTCCAACGGAGACAAATTTTAGGATCCCTCTGTTGACTTGTTTAGTTATGTCTTGAGCAAACGCTACTGCCAATTTGGCCATCAAGGGGTCTTAAGGTCAGGGTTTTTCACCCACTTATTTCTGTCCCTCTGGTCGTCACTAACAAGATCCATTGCCTTCTTCTGCCCTGGGCCCCACCACCCACCCACTTGGGGAAGAGCTACAACAAGGCAGTCACAAATGCTTCAATTTTTCAGGAAAGCAAACAAACCAACTACTTCCCCCAAGGAAAACTAAGATAACTCTCTCCTCCTCCATTCCCACAGGAAAGGGTCTCCGCTGTGACACTGTGTGGCTACCCTCTGGTTCATCAATTTCTATTGCTCAGTGCCACACTAGCTTCTGCAATTGGGGGATATAGTAAATCAAAACAAGTAGAGTTGAAGACTCAGACTTTCCTTTCTTCATCATGAGGGATCAGAAATATTTCCAAACTGATTAAATAAGTCGTAATACACTCATAAAAAAAATATATGAAGCCATTTTTAAAAATGAGCTAGATCTATAGATGCTGACATAGAAACACGCCCAAGATATTAGAGTTAGTGGATAAAGCAAGATAGGAACCTATATTTAGGCAGATTCTATTTTTGTTTTCTAAAAAAATGAGAATCAATTGTTGCTAATACAGTGAGGTGAAAGGCTGATAGAAAACTTTATAAAGGATGGATCAAGCTGACAACAATGCCACTCATTAAGTTTAACATCACTGAAAAGGGGACAGACATCGTGGGCCTTCTGATAAGCCACCTATGAAATTTTTTGTATTCCTGTATTCCTAGGAATACAAAAAATTTAATCAAGACTCTATATAACTAGAAGTTTACCAGAAATACAGGTGGTTAAAATAGCAACAACAGAGTAAACCCACATGCCCAGGGGACAGAATCAGCCAAATCCAGAATGTGGGAAATTCTACAGGACAGATGACAGTCTCTTCAAGGAAATGGCGCTAGGGAAAGGGACATGGTTATGGAGACATACCAAGCAAATACAAGGTGTGAAGCTGATTTTGATCCTGCCTCGAACAAAGCAATTATGAAAAGACACTTCCGAGATAACTGAAGGAATACTGATTGTAACCCAGGTGTTCCACAAAATCATGAAACCATCGTTGATCCCGTTTGATGTGATAATAGTTACTGTGGTTGTTATTTTTTAAAGTTCTTCTCTTTTGGAGATAATATACATGGTAATACTTACAGGCAAATGGATAGAGGTCTGGGATTTGCTTTTAAATGCTTGAGCAAAAAAAGACAGAGTAGGAAGAACGGGATGAGTAAATGAAACAAAAAATGATATCCTTTTATTTGTATGAAAATGGTCCGGAAGCATACCCAAGAAACCATTAAGCAGTTACCTTTGAAGAACTGGGGATTAAAAGGAAGGGGTCGGAGAGGGAAACTTTTGTTTTTATTTTATATTCTTCTATACTCACTGGGTTTTTTAATGTGCAATTACTTTTATAATTTTAAAAGGATATATTCTCATGTGTAAACTTTAAAATCATCTTATTATTTATTCATCGAGTCAACTGAGTCTCTATATGCAAAGGACCACTTATCATGGATCACACCAGAAGGGTTCTGGAATACACTTAGGGCATTCCAAAAATTCTGTTTTACTATGACAGGTATAATAAGCAATATTGGTTACCCTAAACAAGCCACCTGAAAAAGAATCTGCTGAAAATATACCTTCAAGTCTGGAAATTCTACTTGTGATGTTTCCGTCCCAAGCATTTCCTTTTCTGATTGGGGGATGGGGTGGGATGGAGGGTTCTTTCACTCTAGGACAAACACACTTTGTAGAGGCCTATAAACATTTTTTTTTTTTTTTTTTTTATTAACCTGCCTTTAGCTTTCCTGCTGTTTTTTGTTGATTGCTTTTGCTGACCTGGAGTCCTACCCCTAATTTGGCCTCTCATTTTCTATCTTTCATTGTCGTTTCTTCCACTCTGGTATCTTGATCACAAAGACTACACACTGAACAGTAGATCTGAGAGAAAAAGCTGAACCAGGCCTCTAGGTGAGATTATTGTCATAAACCAGAGGGGGGGGAAATGATAATGATGTCTCTTTGGGGTTGTAAGAACATCAAAATAGTAAGAAAGACATACACAAACAGGCTGCCCCTAATCCCCATTTTCAACCTGCAAACTGCCTAATTTTACAGAATTGTCTGGGAGAGGACAGAAAAACGGAGATGTCCTCCACTAATCTGAGGTTTCATGGCACATCACAGGAAGGCAATAAAAAGGCATTAACTGACAAAAGGAACATGGCCAGTGCCCCCCGGACACCCCACTTTACTTAATATGACCAATATCTTCCTTATTTTTTCTGACAACCCCCCCCCGCCCTCTAGTGTGTATTACAGAGCACACTACATTAAATCCTGCATATTAGCATTTCATGTAAATCTATTTTATTTTGGAGCTATTCTTCCTTTGTTTTAATTAATACCAAAAGACACACGAATCATGTACAAATTAGGGTGTCCTTGCATTGACTGGGAAAAGAATTAGAATACTCACAATAAAGAGAAACTAACAGCAAGATATGTGTCGAAGCACTACACTATTATAACTGTTTGAAAATTTTAACTGATCACAGCAGGAAAGGAAGAAGACAGAAGCCAAATGCTAAAAATTAAAAATAACCATAATACAATGATTGATTTTCAAAGTTGGCCATTAATCTCTCCTAGTACATCTGCATTTTTATTTATTAAACATTTTTTGGTATTTTAGTAGGATGCCCTCCCTGTCTAAGGGAGGAAGTAAGGATGTATTCTAGTTTGTATGCCAAACTATTTTCAAGGAACTGACAGCTGTAAATTTCACTCAAATTTAGAGCCTAAGGAAATATGACCACTTCCTCAGACTGAACCACACATTCTTAAGGCAATAGAATCGAAATGTTCATGATTTCACCTAGTTTACAACTGTCTGATAAACAATTTCCCCCAAACAGATCACTATCTGGTTAATACGACCGCAAACAAAACTAAATCCCACCAAATGCTAACAGACCCAGTGGCATGGATAGTTGCTACTTTGCTTTTTTGGAGAATATACATTCTCCTCCCAGACAACAGTATTATTGGAATAAGAGAGATAATAAATGTGTGTAAAATGCCTGTCACACAGTAAATGAAAGCTACTGGTAGTAGCTGTTGCAATAACAGTACTGATGATAGGCTCTAGTCGTACCTTCCAAAGCTCTCGCAGGAGACCAGACGTAAATTTAAACAACTGACATCACATACATACGGAGCTCAGGGCCTGGCCCAAAATGGTGGTTTGTCACAGGAGGCTGGAGAAAATAAAGGAGCAGGAGTCCACTGTGCTACTCAGGTAGAGTCCAGCTCAGACTAGGCAGAACTCTGGTGGTCAAATTCAGCTCAGCAGGGAAAAGAGAGAGGTGGAAAAGACAGAAGGGGAGGAAGGGGCGGGAGGGGGGATTGGCTGGGGCAAGGCTAGAGGTCTTTACCCGTGTGTCTCCAGCACCCAGACAGTGCTGGGTATGATGTGCAATTCAATAAATCTGTGTTGGACTGTAATGAGAGTAGTTGGAAAGGGCTTGGTCAAGAGAGTATCAAAAAGTGAAATGAGTGCTGGAAATGGAAGAAAAGGGTACAGGAGCTGCCAGCAAGTCCCAGTGGATGCAGTGTCAGCCCAAGAGTGCATGCTTTTCACATAGCACACCGATACATGTCTCAAATGAATGGGTGTGGAGAGATGTTCATGTACTTACATCTCACCTATTTCCAAAATGAATTTGGAGCAGCTGATATTTAAAATGCATGCAGTATGACTACACCATTAGTAAGGTACAATGGAAAATGTTTAGACTATTTACAATGGACAAGATCTACCCAAGGCAGAGATAATCTTGTGGGAGGTTTGAGGGTGAATTTTAAGAAGCAAGATACTTAATTCAAAAAATAGGAAAAAAAAAATTATGTTTGTTTTGAGTTGACAGAGTTCAAGAATAAGAAAGGAAAAGCAAGGAATCTTAATACAGGAAGGAATCTTGGAGATCATTCCCAACTAGCTCAGTTTATAGATGAGGAAGCTGAACTAAGGTGTAGGCTTAAAATCCCTCTGCTAGTTAGTGGCAGAATTGGGATTAGAGCCAATATCTTCACTTCTGGTTTGGTCTTCTACCCTGCTGTTATATATAAATCCATAAAGCAATAACAACACATATCACTGCGGGGGGGGGGAAGTCATGGAGGCTTTCATTAACTTACTTGCTTGAACTCAAGGTATGAATTTTTAAAACCAATGTAACTGTTTTGTAGGCCTTGAAATTAAACTTTCTCTTGTTAGAGCCTATGTAGCAATTCGCAGAAAATCGAGCTAATTTGCAAGTCCTCTGCAGGTAGTATCTGCATATACACCTTACCATACACATCAAAGGAATTCAAGATGCCCGGTGACCCTGGGTATTCATAACCCTCATCACCAACTCCACTCCAGGCCTATCAACCCACCAGTGCACATCTGTGTAGGATAACCCATCCTCCTTCCTAACAAAATATAGGGAATTAATATCTTTTAATAGAATTTCATGGGCATGTCTCTCAAATGCTATTTCAGGGTGTAAAAAACTATGGATTAGCAATGGATATCACTGGATTTATCTGTTGTTATTGACTTTGATGTTATTAATGCATATTTTAACGATTGCTAAGTATTCAACAAAACTAAGAAGTTTTAGATAGCTGTATATCTAGACTAGAGGCAGTCTAAGTTTAAATCGCTGGGAAAATAGAACTGAGGTCAGTGACAGATAGTTCTGAATCTTGATTAAAAAGTGAATTTTCTAAACAAGTTCCTGTCTTGTGATCATTCCCAGATTACGGCTCTAGTAACCACGGACCTAATGGGAGTAGAGGAGGAGGTTACCTCACTTTCTGGACTTTCTATGGCTTTGCAATAAATTTTAATAGCATCACGTAAATATGAAGGAAAACAGTACCCAGAAAACTTCTCTCTCTATTGACCCAGGAAATATTCTTAGCCTTCAGTTGTATGACACCAGCTTGCTTCTAAGCATATCTAAATTTTATTCAGTAAAATAAGATGTTTCAGAGACCCTCTCTCTTGAAACTCTCCTTGTTATTTCTTTTAACTAGGAGCCTGGCATCCTGGGAATCTTGGTGGCCGTTTACAAGAAACTTTGTCTTTAAAATAAAAACCATTTATTTTATTCTGAGAGGCAACAAACAGTAGCTTCAAAGAGAATTGAGTCAATGTGTGACATTTATCTTTATAGCAAACGGACATAATCTTCTCTCTCTCACATCCCCTTTCAGAGGAACAGTGTGGCATGTGCTGGGGCGCGGGGTCACATGAAAGAAACCTCCTCCTCAAGTGTCACGTCTCTCTTGCAGGGGAGAAAGGCTACTGAGTGGTGGACTCTTTAAAGGAATTAAATACACCATGACCTGGCAACAACTGAATCCTGTTCAAAAAGGAGGAATAAGGTCAGACCTAAAAGACACTTTTTTTTTTTCCCCATGGTTTGGACTTCCCTTGACCTAAAGAAGGTCAAAGAAATGCTGGTGTCTAAATTACTCAATACAGGATTGGCTTTTCGAGCACATATCTCTTTGTAACTCCAGAATCCACTTTCTGTGCCCTTTTTGCAACATTTTGGGAAACAGCTTTAAAATGTAAGCCCTGCTTGAAGTCAGGATGGTGTGTTGTTATTTTTAAGGATCTTTTTTGCGAATTATTATTTGTTTATTTAAATGATTAGGCGACAGACACCCTTTCTCTGCTGCAAGAAGCCAGCCTACCTATCTATTTCGAATTCAACGAAGATTTCTTTCTAAGGCAAAGGAAAAAAACAGTAAAGAGAGAGATGTTTAGAAACATGGGTGACAGCTCTCACCACATTCTCATAATACTTTCTCGGTAAAGCCAAATCACATCTGAATCTAGCCCCGGGTTGCCCTGAAACCAACAGTATAGCGTGTACAAAGGGAAGGGGGGGGCAGATGGAGAAGACCCACCCTTCCTTCCACTCCTCAGATTCAAAAATCGGTAACAGCCACCAAATCATCTCTCCACGATATGAAGATAAATAACAGAATGGAAATAGTCCATCAACTTCTCCTTAACCCATCATCTAGCTAGCACACTGTGAAGCTAACATTCGCTTTAACTGAGAAGTACAAAGAGCCACCCTACTCCCTACTGCCAACCCACGTGGTCAGACACAGAACTGGAATTTAGGATGTGTCCACATGGATACATGGAACATTTTTGGGGGGACCATGTCAAGAGCCCTCGTGTTTGTCCTCACAGCGCTCTTCCCGCGTGTATGAGCTTTACAAAATGAGTGCCTCGTCAGTGGAGCTGCTTCACCAACTCTGGGATGGTGCCCAGAGGCACATGGAGAACAGTGGCCAGGGGTACCAGTCAGCCAGCAGGGGGTTGCAGAGACGCAATCCAGAAAGTTCCTTTCTCCCCTCTTTCAATCTGATCATTTTGAACACTCGTCGATTAAAATATATAAGGGTTTCGGCAGTAGAAGAAATTCAGTAAAAAGAAAAGAAAAAAACGATTGTTGATAGGTCTCCGTGTAAAATCCTGCTGAGAAGCTCGTTGAGATGTTGGCATGAATTAAGTGCATTTAAACCATAAAGGGAAGATACCTTTTCCTTTGGGTATATATCCTACAACAAAACAGGCAGAAAGTCTCCTGTGCACCGGAAATTCATGACCTCTTTAACATCTTTACATGCATCTAAGCACTTGAGTGAAAAAAAAAAAATTATACTTCACCGATACTGCTCGTTATACCCAAGACACTTCACAAGGATCAAGCTGCTATGATTTGCCTTCAGGAGCCACAGTTTTATCAGTTACCTCTTTCCGAGTCTTCAGACAACTAACATTGATTATTAATTTTGTATAAGCTCTTCCAAGTAACTAATGTCCGGATGGATTTATAGTGTAAATACCATAAATACATTCATTCAATAACCAGATACGGAGAATATTTATAAAATTACATGCTATATACAGCCATACCTCTCTTTCTGCTGCTACCCCTAAATGAAACTTCTCTAAATGAGGAGTGATTTATTCCATTGCAAAATTACCCAGCTCCCTTTGCTCTCCTCCTGGTTTCCTAATTTTAGCCATTTCTCTCTTTATTTCACCAGATGGCAGGTAAGAACTGAGGAGACATGAAACTCAGAATTGATAAACATTTCAGGATTTTTATGGACACTTCAGAAACTCTGTAGTGAATGGTCTGGATCATGCAGAGTCATAAAATTTCCAGATATCCATTCTCCTAGTTCTATTCTGCTGTTTACACAAATTTTAAAAATAATTAAAATTAGTCCATATAGCCCACTCAGCAATTTAAATGGAAATTTGTCATAAGTGCATCAAATTGATGTTAGCTGCGATCGTTCAATTATTTGCCATTCTAAGCACTCTTCATCAGTGTGGCTGCAAATAATCAAAAGTTGGCTAGACACACACAACGGCAGTGTTTATACTGATGAGGACACACATAGCCTACTTCCTGTTCCAATCTGACAGGATATCCTCAGGAGACATCTGAAGCTCCATACATCCATCCCGGTACCATGAATTTATCACACACACAATTTAAAAACAAACCAGTACAAGAAGTGATGCTTCCACCGTGAGAACACAAGTGACTAAATTTCTCCCTCAGATGAGCAACTTGTGAATGTCAAGGCTCCGTAAGACAAGTGACTTCTCCTTTGGAAAGACTGCCCTCACAAGAAAAACTTATGATTCAAATTTTCCACATGCACATTCCTTCAGAATCTGATTGGATTTGAATTTTTTAAAAAAAGCATTTGCAGGAAATGCTTTGATTATGTCTGAATGACAATATTCTTTAGAGTTCTTATATGACAAGAAATTATAGAAGAACAGGATAAGTGGGAAAGGCTGAAATTCCACACACACACAAAAATAATAAAAATGCTAACATAAAAGTGTATAGTGTGATAAATTAGGGCAGAGTAGTTACTGTATACAAAAGTCCATTTGTGATGGGAGGCAGCAGGAGGGTGGGCTCTCCCTTGTCCACTGTTTCAAAAGCAGCGGGGTTTTTTCTCCCCCTATGTTCAGTGATGCCATGCACTCCATGACAGAGATGCTTTGATCTTCTCCCATTAAATATGTCTTGTATGGACCTAGCCTGCACTTGGTAAGAAAAAAAAAAAAAAGATCATTTATATGAAAGGGAGGAGTACTGTACGTCTCTTAAGATTATTCATTACCTTTCAAAAATGAAGCTATTTGTGAAGTCTTTGTGTAATACATACATGAAAGCCCACTACACTGCTTACTTAAAGTATTTTCTTGTGCTCCTGCTTTTTTATTCCTGCCTCAGATCCGATGGGGAGCCCAACCGAATAAAGCAGTGAAGAAGACATGGCAATTTACAGTAAAAAAGAAAAAAAAAACCAAAAACGTACATGATGACTGAAATAAAAGATTCCATACCTGAATTGGAGGGTTTAGAAACTCTTCCCTTAGGAACTGGGAGTAACAATAATTCCAAGGACTGTGGCGGTGGAGGAGGAGGTGGCGGGGGCGGCGGCGGTGGAGGCGGCGGGGTGACCTTTTCTTGCTTCTTCTCCGAAGGCGGTGGCGGTAGAGGGTCCTCAGGCACCAGTGACGATTTCTCAGCCAGAAGACTCCCAGCAGCCCTTGCTGCTACCTCTTTCAGGAGGGCGGCCGAGGAGGTCATGGAAGCCAGGGAAAGGAAAGAGCAGGCCGGAGGTGGGTGCTCCTGACCAGGAGTCAAGCTTCTCTCGCTGACTTTCTTGGATAAGGCTGCCAAGGTGGAACTGGCAGACTGCGAGCTAAAAGGGGAGGAAAAGGACTCAAATCGCATGGTCTCCTCAGTCCTGGTGAGAGATTTGTCCTGCAGAACAGCATTGGCTGCAGCTTTCAGTTTGAGGATGGCTGAATCCGGGGACAGGCCACAGGTGGTGGTTGAGGTGGACAACCACTTACCTTGATTCCATATAAAACGGTTACTTGGAGCGTACTGGTCATTCTGTTCCTGCTTCTCAGCCAGCTTCCTGGCAAGAACACTGAGCTGCTGGGCATGGTGGGACGGTGGCGAAAAGGAGAGATTTGAGCCCACGTTTACCGGGGACTCCACCCTGCCATTGGCCGTGGCTGTGGCGTCGAGTTTGAGGGAACCGGCCTCCAGCAGCCGCCTCAGGTTGCTGCTCAAGGGCTTCGTGGAGCCTGGGGGGTCATCTTCACACAAAGAAGACACGCCAGGGGAGAGGTGGTCTTGACACTGCAGCGAGTCTCGCAGGACCTCACCGTCAAGTCCCACCAGCTCCAAGGTGTGGCTGCTGGGGGTCGCACTTCCCAAGGAGGTGTCAGGGGAAGTGGACTGCTCCTGGATCCGGTCCTCCAGAGACAACTTATAGTTCTCCTGGACTTCTCCATAGGATGCTTCTGACGGAGTCTCTGAAGAGTTTCCATACCAGTGCTCTCCTTCACTGAGCTCTCCCTCAGCCTCTTCCAGCCTACTAACATCTGGGGGAAGTAAGAAGATCAGGTTTACTCCCCAGTGAGCACCGAGCAAGTCTGAAGACATTCAAATGGAGTTATTGAACATGCTTCCTCTTCCCCTCCCCCCCGCAACAACCACAAGAAAGACAGCAACAACCTTACTAGAATGTCAGGTGCCGAGTCAGACGGTCTTGGCATTAGCCTGAAAGAAGGTAAAATACTAAACAAGCAAAGGTAAAAACACACCCACCTACGAAACATATTCATCTTTCTATAATTATTCCAGACAAGCTGAAATGGAGGGGTGGGGGAGAAAAATGCATCTGTAAAAAAGTAACTGCATGAAGAGACTGTTATTCTCAGTGGTGGGGGAAATGGAAAGAAGCTTTGCTCCCTTGTTAAAAAAAACAAAAACAAAAAAAAACCCAGCATGATATCTTTAGTGTCGCATCACAATTAGAAAGGCGGCCTGGCAGGGTGGGAAAATGTTGTCTGCGAGGCACAAGACAGTGGGAAGCTGCTTCCCCACTTTCTGATTCCATGACCTCAGGCAAGTCGCTTAGCTGGTTTGATAGAAGATGCAACTGATTTTTTTGTAAAGTTCATCCAAAAATGTAAATAATACCTACTGTTATATATTACAACTTCACCCAGTTGTTAGGAAGATTAAATCGTAAGAAGCGTGTGACTGTGATTTGCAGACAGTCAAGTTCTATACAAAAGTCAGACCTCATTAGCAAACACTATTCACATAACTGATTCCCTAAACTGATGACGTCTCCCATGTTATACACGCTACTTCTTTGAGAGTCGTGGATTCCAATTACCAACATGCTTGCCATCCTGACACAAGCAATGATTAGGGATTTGTTCCCTCACCCTCCTGAGAGTCCCCTTTAATGATTTTCCATCCATTAATTTATCTATCCACCACTACCAGTCTAACTGCCCCCCAAGCACTGCTCAGTTGGGACTCCCTGCCATCCAAGAGCACCCATGAGCTCTGTCATTTTTCTACCTTTGCTCAAGATAGTCCTTCTATCAGGAATGTCTTTCTTTCCCCCAGAAAGCCTGACTGTCTATTTATCCTTCAACTTCCTACCTAAAAAGTTTCTTCCTTATGATTCTCCCTGGAACTCTCAAAATTAATCTCTCCTTCTCATTCATTCATTCACTTATTCAACAAATAATTGTGAAGTACCTGCAGCATGCCAGGCATTGTTCTAGATCATTCTAGATTGAACCACACTGAACAAAACAAAGATCCAGCCTTCTTGAAGCTTACATCCCAGTGGAGGAAGATAGATGTCACACAAAACTTAAAAACTAGTAAGTCATAGAGTAAGCCAGAGGGTGATAAGTGCTACGGAAAAAGATACACAGCAGGACAAGGAGGTTTGGGGGGTAACGGTAGGAGGTAAGTTTCAATCTTAAACAGGGTGGTCAGAATGGGGCTTCACAGAGGTGGTGACATCTGAGCAAAGATGGAAGAAGTGAGCAGTTGTTCAGGCAGCTATCTCCAGGAGAACGTTCCGGGCAGAGGGAGTCTCTGTAAAGTCCCTGATGTGGGGACATGCCTGGTGTGTTTGTGATGCAGCAAGGAGGCCAGTGTGGGCTGAGTGGAAAGAGTAAGGGTCAAAGCAGGCAAAGCAGGAGGAGAGGAAGTCAGAGAAATAACGTGGGGGGGGGGGAGCGAGGGTGGCTGGGAGTGTGGGGTGAGGCAGCGAGGCTATGCAGACCCGCACAAGGCTGTAAACTGTTGAAAGGTCTTTTGCATCTGGTGAAATTGGGAACTACGGAGGGCTTTGATATGATGTGGCTTACATTTTCAAAGGACTCTTCTGGCTGCTGTGTGGAAAAGAGGCTGCAGACACAAGGGTGGGAGCAGGGAGACCAGATATGAGGCTGGAACCCAGGTGAAGGATGACAGTGTAAAGTTCAGCTCAAGGTGACTGCCGGCAGCGAGAAGCGGCCAGATTCTGTGCATCTTCTGAATGCAGAGCCCACATTCTTGTGTTTTGTTTCTATTGATTACATCTCACTCTCAATTACCTGTCTACTATCGGTGTATCTTCTAAAAGTAAGTAAGTGGTGGTATTCCTTGGAGGCAGGGATGGAGTTTTATCATCCACATGTCCCCCACTGTGCCTAGCACAATGCCTGGACCCCAGCAGAGTTCAGTGATGTTTAGGGACTGAGCCCAAACTCCCCATTGTGTCAAGTTTTGCTATATAACATGCTGTTTCTTTTCTGAATAGAAATAGCTAGAACTAGTAATGCCTGAGCTACAAGCTAATACATTGATCTTCCCATGCTATTTAGAGAAGAAATGTCACAAATGACAAATTCTCTTTCACTGAGCTAAAGTTCTGCAACTCCTTCCTGAGAGTCTTTATTAAATTATCAAGAAAATGTAAAATATCAAATGGAATTTGCTGAAAAAAGGCAGATAAAATTGAATTTTCTCTGTTAAAAACAGTCTGGTTCCTTGTGATTTGCCACATTTCCTTCTTCCCACTCGATTTCAACATTTTTCATCTTTGCTCAAACCGGTAGGACCCTGAACTACTTATCTCCCCAATGGCTTCTCGAAGAGATGCTTTTTACCAAACACCAAGCAGTCAACATCAATTTCAACAACAGGACTAATTTTAAGTTCCTTTGGCAAAACACCTTTCCTGATTTCAGTTTAAATATCTCATCCTTCAGAAAAATCACATGGGAACTATCCTGTAAATAGTAAGAAAAGTAAAAGATTTAAAAATCACTACAGTAAGAGCAGGTGACTAGCTCCTCAAAGAGTCTCTTTCTCTGATCTTTATTGACACTAAATGAACATAGGAAAATAAAGGATTCGAAAGTAAATACTTTCAGGTTACATTTCTGTCATACAAGAAAAGCTCTAGATAGTCAAGACTGGTCTAGAACCAATGTGATAAGTGTCAGAGAACAAGGTACATAAAACTGGGGTTTTCAGAACCACAAAAAAAAATCATAACCACTTGGCCAGGCTTGTCATTTTACTGAGACTATTAAACACTCTGAGGGACTTCCTGCTGGGATCAAAGACACACAGCTACCTACTGCTAATGTCTGAACCAAGAACCCAAATCTCACAACACCCGGCCAGTGCTTCTCTGCACAGCCCCACTGCCCCATCTGCCAGATACCCTCTGAATGGCAACTTCTAGTGAACTTGCAGCAGCAGCCCTCCCACCCCCAGCAGTCATCCATCCTTCCCCTGTCTGGAAACAGAAAGGAGCGAGAGAAGTCTCAGAGATAAGGACAGTATTCACTCTTTATCTTGAGATACACCATGAAGAGGTAAGTATCCATTATTCCCATACTCTAATCTCTCCATTCCCTCCCTGCAGCTTCTTTGTTGCAGTGGTCAAAAACCGACTGAAATGCCTCAAGAATTCAGCACATCTACTGGCAAAGCCCCAAATGCAAAGCTCAATTTCCTACCCCCTGGACAGCCTCAGTGAGCAAGAATATTCCCCCTCCCAACGTGCTGAGGTGGAGTTGAGTGCGTCAAAACACTAAAGTCGCCCGTGCAGGCTCTAATCCTATCAGGCCGCGATAACGAGATCCGAACGTTCTTGAATGATACAAACAGCTGATATCTGCATCGAGAGCAACTTTCCCAACCCTGCCAAACAGCAGCCCCAAACACGCCAACGGAAGCATTTCTTAAAAACAGACCAGTTGACGTCCTCTAAAATACCTGGATGTTTCTCAACCATCCAATCCTCGGTTCTTTGCAGACACGGCCGAGATCACACTCTCTTCTGGAACGCAAGAGAACTCGGGTCCGTAAAGAATATTTTTAAACTCCTAACGCTCTATTAATTGCTTTTCTGAAGACGCTGCTACTACAATGGAGGCTATTCAAGTAATAAATCACCAAATAATGTTAATGCATGGCCTAGGAGGAGCCAGACCAGAAACCCGAGGAGAACCACTTTTGAAATTATTCTGGCACCACCTGAGGTCAAGCGGAAAGGGGGGGAAAGCTTTCAGAGAAATGAATGCAAGAGAAGTGGAGACTTGCAGAGGTTGCCGCACAGTCGTAAGAGGCTCAAACAAATAACGCTCTCCTTACAGCAGCCACAAGGCTTTTCTCTCCCACAAATACGAATTCTCTTCCCCCTGCTGGGCGGCTCTGTACTTCACATTCGATTTCAAGCAGGAGACGTCCTTGAAGGCTGCACTGGTCCAGTTACCGGGAGCTCCGCTTCAGCAGGGTGGGCAGGGACCCCCTAGCACCTTCCGCACTACATTCTGAGGAAAGATGGTCTCATTGGAGAAGCTCAAAACAAAGCATTCCTGCAATCGAGGGGATTACTTTGTTGGCCACCACAAACTTTCAGAACAAGCTGGGCTTGACTTTGGACTCTCTTTCACCATTCGAGAAGCCCCTGGGCCGCGAGACAGCTCCACGTTCCCGCCTGTCCCCAGCGCCGAATCATGGCCCCCTCACCGCAGAACGCCCCACACGCCGCCGCCGTCCCGGAAACGCTTCCTGCGCACACCGACCGTGCGGTTCACAGCTTTCCCAATTCAGGCTCCGGGGGAAGCCTCTCAACGGCCAATGTAAATAACTTCCTTCTAAATACATTATTTTTAACCTCCAGAATAGGAAGCTATTTCCCTTGCTAACTTTACAACAACCTATGTCTCTGACAGCCAGGTTCACACTCGTTCCTGTCAATTTTACACAACAGTCTGTTTGGGTGTTTTTCACTTTAAATCATAAACTCAAAGAATTAAGAATAGAAATGGTACAATTACAGAATGAAATTATGCTGAATAAATTTTGTTTCCATGTGGTGAATATTTCTCCTTTGGGGAAAACAAAACAAAATTCCACTACCTAACACATTTATTTATAATTCAGTTCTCAAGCAGAAAATCAGTAACTCGATATCCACAGCTCTTGCTGCGTTTTTGTTGTTTTTTTTTCCCCCAACTCACTTCCTTTTCGGTTTGACAGTTTTAATCAGATGCATTTAATTGGACAA